GAATAATAAATGCTGTAAAAAGTAACTGAAATCATAATTTGTGTTTCACCAAAGGAATTTACTTGCAACTATGTGTAATCCAAATAAGAGAAACTCTGAATATTTTATGTAATTCCTAATTCATTTCTTTTGAGTTACGAAACTTTTTTTTAACAGCCAAATTGAAATTTGCGAAATAATTTTTCGTATATAATAAACCGTGGATTATTTTAATTAAAGGATTGTCCATGTAATAAATGAAATATTGTCATTCAAAATGAAAATATTTTACAGGGTGTGTATGCGGATGGACTATTCCTATTCGTATGCAGAAAGGTAGTGTAATCGATTTTACAGAATTGGAAATGAAAACTTTTCGCTTATTGTCTATTTGTCTTAAATAATAGTTGTTAGGCTGCTACTTCATATTGCGAAACTATTTTAAACTAATTTAAAATTTAGATATTTTAAATTTTAAATCAAATGATTTATTTTTTCGAAAATGTTTAATTTAAAATCTAAGAGCTATTTAATATTTAATATAACCCTATGCTTAAATATGTTTAATAAAAGTTTTTTGGTTAAGAAGCTTTATGCACACAAATATTGACAGCTTAGCCAAGGCACAAAAACGTAAAAAAATTAAAGTAATCAATGAAAATTAAATTATAGTATCTGAGAGTTCAGAATTCGTTGGATTCCAGACGTTTGCAGTAAGAGTTACGAATTCGAAAAAAAAAACAAATAAAAAACATATGAAAGTGGAATAATGACACTTCCGGTAAACCTAGAAGTAACCCGGAAAAGCTATTATTTTAAAAAAATAGACCATGTCAAAAAGCCTTCAATTGCAAATTGCTCAACGTAGTGTTACAACATGTGCAGTTTGCATGAATGAACAGAAACATACAGATTTAACTTACTTTTGCAATCTGACTATTTTTGTTAAAATCTAAGTCGTTACTTGAAAAAAATAATATTGCCATTAATTACATGTTCAAAATGTTTCATTTTGCGAATGAATTTGAAATATATGGTTTGTTCACAGTTTGTTTTATAATAAACAATTAAAGGAACAACGCACCTCATACATATTCGTGTAGAAAAGAAATTATTAAAACAGCATATGAAAAATCACAATAAGAATTCAGGTTTAAAATTTATATTGAATAAACGAGGCGCTTATTCAACAGCAAGTGATAGTTAACAATAGACAGGATTAAAACAGGAAATACTCTTGAGCTGGCAAAAATTAGCATACACTATTTGTTATCAGCAGTGATTTTTGGAAAAGTGCGTGCCAGAAATATATGTGGTCAATAATTAATCGATCAATACATATACGCTTTTTGTAATTAAATGGAGATGTTTACTAACAATTATTTGAGATAATGCTTTCAGTCCTATTAAAAGATATACAAATGAAATTACCAATTTACGAAATCAAACGCACTTTATTCATCGTAAACATCCAAGCTTGGATCCTCGTCGCGTCTGTTAGATTGAAAACCGATCGCATTAAAACGGCGAGCTTTGGATTATTGGGAAATGTTTCGGAATTATAACCAGAATATTCAGAGATTTCAGATAAAAACATGCAGCAGTATCGCAAGTGATGTAGGAATTTTAGTATCTTGTTAAAACTTACAATAGTCGTTTCAGATAACTTAACTAAACAGAATGTTCTTAATAATATATTAGTAAGATATCTGCAGGGTGACTGAGGACAAAATGGAAAGAATATACGCATATGTCGAGCAAAATAAGCATTTATTGTGCATTTAATTGCTTCATAGGTACAGATTATCCAACAATGACAAAACGTCGGTTTCACGTAGGTATGATGCGGCCTAATAAATGATTGGTTGTTTGGTCTTTGGGTATTGGAAAACCGCCTTAATGGAGATGGTAATGTGCATAATATTTCCATTTTTTCCGGATTCACCCTATATAAATTCGTTGGAATTATAACTAGGTATAGAGTGCAACACTTTTCCGCTTCATATTATAAATTTAGCATTTGCCTGAAGCTTTTTTTCGTAATTTATGATTCTTGTAATCCATTTGTCAAAACTCCTCTTAAATTTAAAAATAAAACCTTTACGACTGCCGTTTTATGTCAATTTATCTTGTTGTGGGTGAAAACTTAATTTACTGTGTTGGTGGATAAATATGAATTCTACGAAATAGAAAACAAAACGATAATCCGAATCCACAGTGTCCCATCTTATTCTCGTTCCACATTTTATAATTAACTTCAACTGAAGCTAACATTTCTAATTATACTATATATTAGTATACAAATTAAAATTTTGTCTAGAGAAAATGTAGGATAAATCTAAAAAGTTGTAGGACTGCTTCAGAAGTTATCCACCCCTGTATAACTATCCCCTATGTAACTTGTTCTATTATTACTTTTTACCCTTGTGCTACGTATTACAAATTTAATATTAATGAAAATTTATACATCTTTCTGAAAATCTCCACTCAAATTCCTCACTTTTTTAAATGGGACACCTTATATATTTTTAACATTTTCCGGAAGAAAACGTTACATTTTTGGAAATATTATGATCTCATCAATCCTCGACATTCAAGCGTTTTCCAGATTAATTACAATTGGATCGACGAGTGAGAAAATTATTAATGGAAATTACTTCAGAAATTCAACAGTTTTCTGTGAAATACTGGGTAAAAAGTTGAAGAAAAGAAGTGTATTCTGAAGCGAAAAAAATTCTTGATGTACCTACTTCTCTGCATAGACATATTTTTATAAAATTGCATACTTGCTTCTGAATGTTCTTCACAATGGTTTTGTGATTACAATCACCCAAATCAACGTTTTCGAAAAAAGTTTTGAAACATTTTATACCGGTGAGCAGTGGCGTATACAAAAGTGGGTAGAAACAAACAGGAAAGTAGTTAAAAATGAGGAAAATACATTTCAACTAATCGCTACACTTATAGAAGATTCTTATATTGGTTTTAGCTGAACCATTGTTCCCTGTGTAATTCGAACATTTAAGTCTCATCCATATGAAATCTAGTTTCATCAGGAACTATTCGAAGGGGAATTTCAAGCCAGAATTGAGTTTTGCATAAGGGCCCTGGAAATATCTGTAAATAAAATACTCTGTCCCAAAATTTGTTTGTTTTTTTTTACAGATGAATTCATTTTTCATAAAATTGGCGTTGCAAATAATAGTACTCCATTAGCAGTAGAAGTTTCACTGTTTGTGATTTTATTTATTTTGCATTACTGATTAAATTCTGTTAAATATAATGTTTGTTACAAAATAAATATACCTAATTTGGAAGGCGGCGACTTCGCAAAAAATGTAAGTATAATAGTAAATTGAATCGCTATAAAAAGCGACCAATAGTGAAATAAATCCCCACGTCGATCGGATGAAGAACTGCCAACGCATGTAGTCTATCAGAGTTTGGGGTGGATAAAAAAATGTATACAAAAATTATTTTTAGTGTTTCCGCACTGTTCTGCCCTGTTCTGCCTCAATTCATACCCGAACTCGAACAAGAGGTGCAGCAGTGCACTTTGAATGCGATGTTTGAACTTTTTTAAATTTAAAATTTGTAAAAATGTGTGCCTTTTCACGGGCCCATTTTAAAGATATATGTTCTGACCGAAAAGTCTGATTTCCGATAACATAAAACAAATAATTAAAGTGCATTTCGTACCATACTTGAATGTTTTTCTTCGGCGAGTTAAAAAATAATTCGATTATTAGTGACTTAATTTATTAGTCTAGTTGTTCGATGACTGAATTTTCTTATCTTATATAAACTTCATTTAAACAAATTCTTTATGTCACGAATAATTGAATAAAAAAACTCTATTCGTTTTCTCGTGAGAATAAAGGCCTTGTACATTTAATAAAATAGATAATCTAGTAGTAGTCACATAAGAGTGTCCCTTCTTTCTAGTGCAAGGGAACATCGGATAAATTGAAGTTAAATAGTCCCTATACTGGTATGTCTTCTATAGCAAGTTCTAATAATATGTCTCTTCAATTTCGTTCAATTCGATAAATTTACGTGTGAGATTTTTACAAGTTTATTATAAAAGTGACATTAGCAAACACCCTATATTTTTATGAATTTTCATTATTGATGCATTCATCATAAAGAAGTATTCAGTTAGTATTTTAGTTATATAATTATTTTGTAAGAGCAATAAAATAGGGTGGCCCCATTTGGAGAACAAATATTTCAGAGATCACTGGTGAAACAAAAGCTTTGAGCCAAAAGCTTTAGCATCAGTAGAACAACCGATTCTTCTGAAACTGTTGTAGTTCTCAAGTAATATAAATTTAAGTACGTATTAATTAGATTTTTAATGCCGCCAAACAAAGCCAAATCTAAATAATTTTTGGGAAAAACCTTGGTCTTGAGACAAAGTTGCGATATATTAAATATTAATAATTTATATCATTAAGCATGCTCATTCAGGTACAATCTAAACTGATAAAATATCAACGATCCGAGTGTATCAAAAACAATTAATCAATCAAAATCAAATACAACTACAATGAAGTGCAGTGAATTATCCTAATTTTCAAATGTATGTCATAAATTGGATCATTTTTATATCGCTTTTATTGGTTTGATTTTACTTAAAACCTATTAAGCAAAGCAGGATATGGCCCATACTCAGAAAGAAGTGTAAACTTAAAAATTTCTTTCTCGAAAAATAAATAAAAGTAATCTAGCAATTAAAACGTGCAATAAGTACAGAAACGGTTTATTGATTTAAACTTGAACGGAGAAATATTATTCTTGGACGCCCCACGATCGGATTAAATGGAAATTCTTCTCTAAGCCGTTAAAAATAGAACATTAAAGATAAATTTGGAAATGCAATTTAAGACCTGTTCAACCACGCGTGTTCACTGAAAGTCTACTTTTTTAAATAACTAACCGCCAAAGCTGTTTAGGTATTTATATTTCCTCGCCTATAAGGAAATTAATGACTAATAATGTATCAGAGTTGGTTTTCTTACCAAAAATATCACTTTGCACTAATTAAGTTTCGCTTCGTCGTCCGGTCATTTTTGCAACTTTTCTCTTGAAAAGCCGAAGTTCGTGCGCTTTTCGGCAAATTCAGGCCGCAGAGCTGATACGAATAGCAAACGCCGCCAGAACGGTTCAAAATCAACTGAATTTCGGTACGCTCAATTTTCAAGCGGGAATTATCGGGATTCTTTAGAGAAGTTTTCGAGCTAGGCAACTTCAGCGCTGTTTTGGGAGCAACATTTTTTACTGATCCGAAGAGATACTATAAGGATAGAGGTTTATATGAGATAGAGGTTTGATAAGTTTAAGCAGGTTATCAAAGGCTGGAATTGCATATGTGAACTCTACAGTTTTGAGGCTGAGGCGACGATTTAAATCTATACAAGACATCGATAAAAACAGTGTAAATAAGTTATTTATGTTTTAGCGAAAATAAGGACTTTTTAAATATTTTTAGAGAGAGCCCTTAGAGGAGCTTAGAGGTCCCACATCGCTCGGATAATTTTTCTTCCCCCTAACCCCCTCATAAGATTTTACAGTTTTTATTACACAATTTACAATAAATTATGAATTTTAATGAAAATAAATAAATTATCGGAAGCTGAGAGGAACATTATTGTGCCTCTCAATTTCAATCAGGTCATTTTTTTATATTCCGTTTAGCATCTTCAGTGGTTGTAGCTTCACCTTGTACCTATAAGAAGTCTTATTAGTCTTAGAAGATTAAAGTGTTTAGATCTTTGTAACATTGAGTTCTTATTCTGTTATTGATTTATACATTTTTAGCTTCAGATGAAACTATATGTAAAAAAAATTTGCGATGCTGGTCGAAGACTAATAATAAAATCCAAATTAGAGAAATGTTTTAATTGCTGTCTTCTCGAAAAATTTGAGGATTTTCAAAAAATTTGTCAATTAAAAAGTTTCGTATTTTATTATTACTAAGAAACGTGATTTTATTGAAGCTTGATGTACACTTGTAGTATTTTTTATGTGTTTTTTTATATCAAGGATAGTTTCCACATTTTTAGGGGTCACTATTTAATAGCCACAAAAGTTGATTGATTAATATTATATTTTAGTCCATTAACAATGTTTCTTAGGGAGGCATTCGGGATCCATTAACTGTTTTTACATTAACGTACAAAACAAACCATGTAGGAAAAGAAAAAAAGTTCAGTGTTTCAGGTTTCGAATGCTTTGGACTAATTTTACGTTTTTCATGCAAATATTTATGCATGAACTATTCAAGCCTACACCGAAAAATTTCCGCAAAAAAAATATATTAATTCTCACGTAGCATTTACCTACTGCTAGTTAAATAATGCCTTTGGTGCAATTTATGTGTTTTCCATGGATGCAGCTTTTGTGCCGGATATTTTGCCAGGTTGTCTGGCAATTTTTAACATTTACACGTGGCCAATCAGACAACTTCGTTGTCAGTCACTGTAACCGCATTTTAATATAAGAGTTAATTATTGCTAGAATTAGGCTGACAGGTTTCAATTAGAAATTAAAAACAGGTACATCTGCCAAGTAGCCGTCACGATTTCGAATGAATCTTTATTTTCTTTACTAAGTTGTTGTATGTAGTCGTGAATTAACGAGCCAGAAATTACGAAAACAAATGTCTGACACTTTGTTGAAATTTGTTTTTGATCAGCTGCTAACATTATTATTTCTATTTTTATTATAACGAGAATTTATCTTCAGTCTGCTTGTCCCAACCGAAATATGGTAAAATATTGAAACTGACTTTTGCGATTTGTCTTAATGAATAAATATCCAATCAATGCGGTTTTTTGAGCATCTGTACTATTCAAGATGAGAATATGGGAATCACGGTCAAAGTTACTATTATCAAAGTATATATTTATTTTTAGTATACATATTTGAATTGACACACAATTAACTCATAGCACAAAAATGTTTCCAAATTTCCTGTTTACATGAAAAGATCCTTCGATAGCTGGCAAAATATTGAGTAAGTGATTTTGCAAGCAAATTTGAGTGGATTTAAAAAAAATCTTTAATTCACCACATTCAAGTTCAAGGATCAATTTTGCTTAATTTGCCGGATATAAGACGTATGTTCTGAATGTATAAGTCGTATTTAATAAAGTGGAACAAATTGGAACATTATCAAAAATGAGTCGTGAATTATGCGGCTTTAGCTAGGAGTTATTTATATGTTAAATATAAATTCTTGCATAATGTTTTATGTTAAGTGTATTGAATATTTATGACAGCAATTTATTACTGCTAATCTTGCGTATGACAGAATCAATTAATTGCTGTCCAAATTGATACTTAATTTTTTTTTTTGAAAGTAGGATTGTTTGTGAAGACAACCTAGTCCATTCCAATTTGAGAAGCCTTTTTAGAAATTACGTTGCATAAAAGAAAAAAATTATGACGACATATTTACACTAATTATTTTCACATTTTTACTTGCCAAAGCTATGTTTTTAATAACTTATAATTAGATCCCATCGCAGACTCCCATGCCTGACAATACTGTGGACTTTATCCGCCTTTTAGTTAAAAAATATCAATTCAATTAATTGAACTCAAATCGATCAACTAGTTCTATAAAAAATTATGTGGGTTTAGAGATTACTTGAAAAAGCGTTGCTAAAAAGCCGAGTTACACAGGGGTCAACAAAACAAAAATTAGACACGAACCAGACTTTTAGTATCTAGTAATTCTTGAAACCATTTTCCAAATGTGTTCAATTTCTTGAGTAAATTTCTAAGTATAATACAAGATATGCAATCAAAGAACAAGATTCAAGTGCAAGACCCTGTATAGATTCATTTTTGTATTGTGTGACTGACCAACGCATTTTGATTACCATCGTTAGCATAAATTTACCTAATTCTAGAATAAATGCCTGATAATTTATGACATTATTTCATTTTATTATTAATGTGTGGATAATTTATTATCACGTTTTTCGGATTATTACGTTGTTTGAACAAGTGAATCGACTGGTTTGAGCAAATAGTATGGTATATCTATAAAAATATTCTGTATTTAACAAGTTGTACATTTAAATCTTTTAGTGAGCTTGAATTAATCAAGTTAACTTTGAAGTCATGTTTTATAATGTAAACCAAATTTAACATCATTAATAAAATAAGCATTATCCAAAAAGATGATAAGCTTTATTTCGAGGCCATTCCTTGAAAAACCCGAAAAACCCACTAGTTTCAAAATAAGCATTATCCAAAAATTAAATGTATTCAGAAATGAATAGAAACTAAAGACAACTACTCCAGAAGGTAATAGCATTTTCTTATACGATATTAAGAGCATGATTTATTTTCTTAAAAATATTATGCTAAACCTAATTAGTATCTAAAATTATTTAAAAAATCTGCAAAGAAAATAAAAAGTAGAATATTTAAAAAATGAAACATGTTTACTGTTCGTCGAATGAAATATGTTATGAAACTTAACACTTTATATGTCGAGTGTTAAAAAGTAAATAGTTAATAATTTAGAAAAGTGAATAAAGACACTTATGCGAACACTCTGAAGAAATAATACTTTGCGAAGGAGAATAACATCTAATAATTGTGTTGGTTTAATCATTGTTTCGCTTATTAAAAATTACTTTTTTCGCAATTTACTTGCTGCAATATTTTAATACTATTTTATGATTCTTTTAATTATTTTGGTACAATTATTGGTTGATATCGTGCGTGTCCATTCTGAGGACATGTTATTAAATCGAATTTACTTAAGTGAAAAAATAAACTTTACAAAAATCATAGATAATTAGAATGTTAATACAATATTCCATATTTACCTGCAATGTTTATTGGCGGATTTCGCACCGGCTCACTGGTGCGCATTTCACAAACTAATATGATGTTGTCACTTTAATTAATTCACACTATCTGGACATCGGAATAATGGCAATCGCAGCCTTGACCACAGATCTGTGAGATAGAGCGGAAACAATTTGTCTCTCTAATTGGACCACTGGCTGACGTCAAAAGTTTATATTCAAAACCATCCCATTGGTTGAGTTATCGCTTATAACTCAAATTTATAAATTTTGTATTCTTTTCATCAGTTCATTTACCAGCTTACAAAAAATCCCCTGATAATAGTTTTTTGATTGAGTTGTGCATTCCATCTGCAAGATAAATAAGTGGTCGCTCCAATTGAATCTATTTCTATAAACTCCGAGTTCAGCAATAGGATGAATTTTTGGCAATCACAACCTACGCAAAATATAAACCTCGGACTTAAAGAGCATATTCAGAATATAAATTTGATTCAAAATTTGTATTTTTATCAACTGGGAAATTTTAAATGGACGTAGCTAAAATTTTTGAGTCAAATTTGTTGGTTCGAATGTTTTTTAAATAACACTGTAAATTTCATGATAGAAATGTGGTAACTAATGATTGATTTGTGTTTTCACATTTTAATTCCTTAAAATGCTACCACTTTTCACCGAATGTTCACCTTCGTTAGACATTTCTAAGTGGCAACTATACAAGAAAGAGCAAATGCTAAAACCGATGAAAAAATCGGGAGATTCGGATATTCTTACTTACATGCCGTTTTGAAGAGCTCTTAACAAGCAAATTTGTGTACAATTTTTATACAAAAAGTTAGCTCTGGGTATGTACTATTAAAATGGATTTCACGATCACTCAAAAACTTTGAACTTTACCAGAGATAAGAATTTTCCCAAAGTTTTACAACCTCTTTGTAGTCGGAGCCCTTCCCAAATCGTCAATCCTCTTTTTTGGAATCACAATTAGTACACACACAAATCACATTAAGTATCAAAGTAAACTTTATTTGAAATTAAACATTTGTTTGTACAGATGTACATGAAGGAAATTTGAAAAATTAAAGTGTTGAAAATATTATAATTTTTTTAAGGTTTAAACCTTCAGCAGCTTTTTCTGATAAGGAAGCGAAATCACGTCAAAAAAGGGGGTTGACTTACTGTAATTGTATAGAAAATTCTATCGGGCGGATGCATACCGTTCCTTATGAAGAATGTAATTGAGTGGTAATTTTTACAAAGTTTTTTTCACTGAATTTCCGTGCACAACATAAAAGCGTTGTTGCGCAAAAAAATAATGAAGGAAGGAGTCAAACCAGCACATTTTTTTGTATCTAAATTACCAGTAACATCAGACAACTTTTTTACGTATACAGGACTAATGGTTTTGGATTCTGCCCAGCATTCTGTTCCGGTATTAAATGGAATAGAGAACAACTTTTCAAGTAACCTTTTTACTGCGCGACAAAAAAAATTAATGTACCTAATTTTGCAGGTTCTCCTTTTGTTCCTGCTTCGCTGCTTTATAAGTTCGATCAGTCTTCCCTACTACAGCTGCAAACTATTTTGGCTTTATTTTCGCATACTTATTTCTCCTCATCAAATCAATGTTGTTGTTTTTTTCGTAGCAGTTATTATACTGCTCTTTATTTTCAATATCAATAGAAAACATCCAACTAGGCTTGGAATTAAAAAACGACATGATTGATCTCATGCTATAATTTCAGCAAAATCTGAGAATTCCGAAATAAGTGTTTACAAATCTTTATCTGGTTTATTTACGAATTGACTGTAAATAACCCTGTCTACTTGTTCTGGTCAGCGATTTTCCAATTCTTCTTTACCCTTTAAAATCTCGATTTAAACGACCGGAAAAATAAGTCAGAGGGAGACAATTAGTAACAAAATGCTTAAAGGGGAGAGTAAATGAGTCATGAGGGAAACATTAATTTCGTCTATATACACGCAGAATTGACGATTAACATTTCTTCAGCTAGGGTGCGATTTCGTGCAAAGGTTCCCCTTTGTTTCGAAAATTAACCCAAGTTGTATTTTTACACAGCACCTAATATTACGATATGTTTGCATTGATGGGAAAAATAATGAATTATTGGGCATCATATAGGGGCAAATCCATTTATTTACGAATACTATATTTTCTCATCATTTATACACTGAAAATGTTGAGAATGTTATTAATTGGAATTTTCTCTCACAGCTTGATCCTAAGTGTGTCCCAGGATACCCTCTAGGTGATAGTTCTTGAATACTTTTTGATAAATAATTCGTTCTTATTGCGAAATAAGAGCACTATTTATAAATCTGTAATAAAAGACGTAAGGAAATTCTGTTTTTTTAAGAGAAAAATTTTTGAGGGGAAATACCCAACAAGCAGTTTGTGAAAAAACTATCGATCTAAATATACCTAAGGAGCAGATTGCAGATCAAATCAACTTCATGCTTACTTATGTCTCATATAGTTGACAATAAATGTACCTATGTTGTTTCCTATCCGAACGAGTATAAAAGCTATAAAGCTGCTTTGTAACGTTTTGTCTGTCTAGCAGCTGACTGTGTCTAAGCTGTTCGAACCGTGTTCACAAAAGAGCCCTTCGGTTTAGCTTTTCCCACCCTTGCAAGGGGTCACCCTTTCTCGTCTAGGATAGACGAAAAAATCGTACACCCCGAATCTTTTATCTATGACCCATGGGATTATTTCGCTGAGAATCCTTAGCGGGCTTGTATTACTAATGCACCCACCACCAAGTGATTGTAAAAACGCTTTCTTTTATGCACGTTATTGTCGTAGATCTGCCTCTAAACGTAATAATACGTTTTTTCATGTATTTTAATTCATCCACAAAAAAATATTGCTGTTTATACCTTCCTTCTTTGTGTTTCCCAACTACATAGGACAGATCGAAACAGGCATTTAGAAAATGGTCCGACAAGATATAGTCTAAGAGAATTGGGTCAAATTATATTTCTAAGTTTTCTAAGCGTAATAGAACAGTCACGGCGGGCATTTTAACAAGCCGTCAGTATCAGATATTTTAATTTAAATTTTAATAATATTGCTTTAAGTAATAATATGTATATTTTGAAACGATAAGATTTTTCTCAAAAGTATCTACACGAAGCCCAAAAAACACAATATAATGTTGCAAACATAGAGTTTATATATCTGGATATTCAACAAAGAAAATCTGGTGTTTTAAACAGT